AACACTTTATGGTCTTCTAATGTTACTTCCTCAGGTAAAAAAACCGAAGTAGAGAACAACAACTTGTTTTGACCAAAAAAAAAAAAAAAAAAAAAACAACAACTTGTTCGATGTATTGGCAACATTGGTGGCTTTTTAATATTACCTGTGTTTATGTTTTGTTTTTTCTTTCTCTTCTATGCAGCAAAGTGCGGCGTTTAAGATACTTAGGACAAGGCTCAAAACTGTCCCAACATACTCATTCAGTGGCGGAGAGCAAATAAGCAGAGCATCTTCAGGAGTTCCTTTCTCTCAGTATACGAATCATCACGAGGACGATGATGCAGAAGACATTAATATCAGCAGTTCCCACCAAGGGATCAATTTTGCTGCACGGCTGCAACAATTTGAGAATGTACAGAGTCAGCATCGTGTTCAGGCAAGGAATAATGTCAAGTACACATATACCACTTCCTCTTCGTCTACATCAAAGGTACACACAGGGCAACACATTTTCATCTGAAGACTTTGATTAGTAACAGAATGATTTCACAATTCAGCAGTTTTCATACCAATCACACAGTTTTGCCAAAGCAAGATTAATGTTCATTAATTATCCCTCAGTTTTATGGGAAAAAGTATGAAATAAAAAAAATTATGTAGGTGTTCTTAGATTTTGTCTTTGATTGGTAACATTTTGAAATCTCACTGATTACTGTCCATTGATGATTTAGGAGGTGAAGAGATCTGAAGAAGAAGACGAAGAACAACAACATAAACCACCACCTTCCTCAAGATCATCATCAGTTGCAGACAACAGTCGACCTCCATCAAGATCCTCAAGAAAAGGCCCTGGTCAGTTACAGCTTTAACAACATCCCTGGTATGGTAATGATACATCATCATCATCATAGTAATAATATCATCCCGTGCATTATCATCAGTATTCTTCGTTTGGAAACCACCGATCCATTTTGTCTACTGTAAAATTGTATATCGCCCATTTTTAGTAACTCTTCAAGTTTCCTCGGAATTTGTCAAAAAGAAAAAAAGCTACTACGGTCGTCTCTGTCCTCTCTTATCTCTCTGTCGTTTTTTTTTAATTTACGAGAGATTCTTCAGTCTCCCTTTTTGGTTTTCTTTTTTCTCGAATCTGCTGCTGCTTCAATGTTGTTCCTTTTATTGAAGAGGAGATTATTTGTTTCCTTTGTGGATGTAAGCAAAAAACGAAGTCATCATGTGGTTTTGTGTTGTTTTTTTATATAACTGGAAACCACATGAGGAAAATGGTGTAGAGATAACTTGATTGGATATTTATGTTGAATGATGCTCCTTCTTTGCTCTTATGATCTCTACTCTCTTTTTTTTTTGGTAAGTATACATTCTACAAAGTTTTGTTGCTGAGAACTATATACATGTTACGTGAACTATATACATGTAAAGTAACTAAGTAAGGGTTGGATCATGATGGGTATGGTAATTTCAAACGGTAACATTTTTTTGGATGGTAGTTAGGAAGGCAATGTATACAATGATGCTACTAAGTTCTGTATCTTAGTTTGAAAGCACTGGTGAAGATGGCTTGGAAGAAACATGAGTTGTTGAGGTAGGATGCTTGTGAAATGTAAGTAGTCAAATGGCTCTTATTCACCATGGAGAACAAACTTTAGTGTGAGATCTATTCAGGTTATATAACAAAACTACAGAATCCTAGCATATATGCCTTGGGGCTGTCTTTTATTTTTTTCAAGATGTCTTGGGGCTGACTTTATAGAATTGGGCTTGCGCTCTAATAAATTGAACTCAGTATCTAGAATTATATGGAATATCTCAAGTTAATGTACCAAAGAAACGTTTTCTCAATTAATGCCCCTAAAACTTCTAGAAATTGGAACTCATATTTATATTTCATGTATAATATAACATTTTTTTAAGTAATTTTACTCTAGCTCACATATTTTATAAAAATAAAAATTGATATATATACTATTATTCACGAATTTTTCGTATTCAAACACCACGTTAAAATTTAGAATGGTTAATGTTATTTATACTATTTTTGAATTATCCTAAAATAAAAACGAATTTCAAATTTATTTGATAGGTAAGTGATTAAAATTAATAATAATAAAAATTATTCTAAATCTAAAAATATATTTTAAAATTTAAATAATATTTCATATATATATTGTGTTATTATCCAAAAACTATGTTTTGATAAGAAAAATGTTACATATTCAAAAACAAAAAATACATACCTAAATATTAATTAAGTAAAATTCTTAAATTTATATAACTGAAAAGAATAGATTAAATGATTTTAAATATTATTTATTAATAATGAATATTGTATACAATTATTTTTTTTTAAATGATATTACATAAGAATTTTAAATGAAAACATAAATAATGTTTTACCATTATAATATTTTAATTAATGATATATATTAATAAAGAACTATAAAATGATTATGTTCACATTCGTGGACGAAACATCTAATTTTTTTTGTATTAAGAGATAATTTATTATTTATTTTGTATTTTCAACAAAATTATTTTAGTGGATATCTCTATAATATTATTTGAGAAGTCACTTTCTTAGGTGTCGCACTCACGTTAACTTTCACGCTGCTTGATTAATAGGATACCCCTAATGAATTAAAAATAGATTTAAATATTATTATTTCCTTTTTAAAATCTTCCAAATAACAATATAAAACAAAAAGGAAATAGTTATAAAATTTACAAAACTATTTAAAAACGAAAAAAATAAGTAAATATATAATATGGTTTCATAAAAAAAAAGAAAATTTACAAAATAGTAATATTTAACATAAATATATTTTTAAATAACATAAATTATACTTTTCAAGCAATTATACTTTATATATATATATATATATCTTCTTAGATGGAAAAAATATTTGTATATAATGTGTTTTCATAAAAAAAGTTCATACAAATAATCTTGATATTAGAAAAAGAAATATGTTTTCTTTAAAAAAATAATTTAAACAATAAAATATATATATTTTCAAAGTAATTAGTTTTTGTATATATCTATCTATTTTATTATATGATTATATAAAATAATTAAGTAATATAAACTGATATATGTTTAGTTAGTATATTTATTTGATTATAATATCTTACAGTTACAGCAAAAAATATAAATTATATTTTAATTATATAATATAATTTCACAAAAACAATCACATTTTACTGCATATTTTAAGAGATAATAAAAACAAAAATAAAAATAAATTTAATAATAAACATCTTTTGATAAAATAACTTAAATTATTTTAAAATATCATAACACAATATAATTTAACGAGGTAGATATATTATATTTTAATAGTTAAAATTATCAGTTTTCTTAATAACTCTTTTGATGTTTAATTTTCTGTTTTTATGTTTGTGGAAATTAATATAACCATAATCAAAATACTTAAGCAAATCAGAATTCCTTATTTTAAAAATTATTTAAAATAAATTTCAGTTTACCATCCAATCAATCTAAGGCATAAATTATTTAAAGTTTATAAAATATTTAATTATTCTAGATATTGATAGGTGTTCATAAGCTTTCAAAAATTTATTATTACTTATGTATGTAATTTAGAATTAGACACTTTAGTTTTTAATTTTTTTCGTTCTAAGCACAAAAAATCTTAAATTACATAATCTTACTAAGATATACTTATATTTTTAAGATAACAACCAACATAAATTTAAATAAAAAAATTAATCAAAAATTTAAGATATTTAGAATTAAGAAGATTATAGTTGAATTTAGAGAAATAGATAGAATCCAATATATATATATATATATATATATATATATCCAAATGATAAAACTGAGTAAATATAATATATCTAAAATTATATATAACTAAAATAATATAATATTATTAATATAAATACATAAAAACTATAAATTAATATAAAAGTTAAAGTAAATATCAATCAACTATTATAATATATTTATTTTATAAATATTTATGCCCGTGCATGAGCACGGGAAAATCACCAAGTTATAGTAAACTTCGATTCTATTCTATGTAATTTTAAATAAATATAACAAAATACACTAAATGGAAAGAAAAAACATATAATTACTTCAAACTTATATTGCATGACAATTGTGTTTTTAAAACACACCACGCCTAATCATTTATGCTTCCATAATTCACGGCGTTCGAACACTGGATATGATTATCCTTTCTCATTTTTTCTGAGATAACTACAGAAAATCCAGTATTCCCCACCCAAAATCATCAAACCAAATTAAATATTAGTTAGTTTTTTTTTTAGTATCGAAACATTCTGACTCTTGTGGGTCAACATTAAAAAACACTGCTTTTTTAATCAAGACCACCGCTAAAAACATCATTCGTACCCTTTTATCTTAAGAATAGACTTGATCGATTTTGGTAGTTAAAAGAAAAGGTCAAAGGTAGTTAATTAATTAGAGAGTGCTTTTCGAAACAAAAGGGGACTTCTAATGAATAAAATGTTCCCATGTGGTCTATCTTTATGTACTATCTATTTTTCATGTTCTTTTGCAGTAATTGAGTAAAGATTTTGAGCCAATCTCGCCATGAATATCTGCAAAGTTAAAATCACGAAAATCAGCATTATGTATTTCATTTAATCTGTTTTCGGAAAAGGTGACTAACTCAAAAGGATCCTTCTCTCACTTATAATGTCAATGGCTTAGAGGACAACAGAAGTTGCTAACTTACTCTCCACAGGGCCGGCCCTAGGCAATGCCTAGTGAAACATTTGTTTCATGCCCCCAAAAATTTTGTAGAAAATTACATGAGTATAGACCCCCAAAAAAATTTTAGGCCCCCAAAAAATTTTTTTACTTAGAAATCGCCATAAGCCCCCAAAATCTCAGGGCCGACCCTGACTCTCCATCAAGTCTTGACCAACGCTCTTCAGAAGGCCAAGTTTAATCAAATTATACATCAGTTGGAAAATAAATTAAGCAAAATTCAAAAGTAAAAATATAAACATAAACGCAATAAATATAAAATTCATTCCAATATGAATGAATGGTGTTTGTTAACTGTTTGAGTGACTGGACATTTCTCTAACGTAATACTTTCGGTACGTCAGATGAAAACAGCAGCTCACGATCGCATAATAAGACGACCGTTTGTGATGGGGTGAACAAACTTTTCTTTCCATGAAGTCTTGTTTTTCCATATTTTGACATATTTGGTTCCTTTTTAGGTACCCATTTACTTAGCTATCTACTCTATTAAAATAGAGTCATTCTTTTTATCTACTGATACAAGTTGTCATTTAAATTTGGACCATTTCTAGAGTGTTACAAATATGTAACACAAGCCATATAATTAATTAAACCACATTACTTAAATTAAATAGATGGTTATTTATGGAATATACTCTTGGGCTTACTTTGTTTTTAAAATAAATTATATAGTTTGGTTTTTGAGTTTAATATTAAGGAAAAACTCCAAAAACATTGAATAAACTTTCCACCTTAGTAGATCAAAAAAATCAATTATTATTTTTAGGCCCAAAAGTTATTTAATATTTTTAACAAAAAAAAAATTTCTATTATTAATCATTTATTTAAATCATGTACTTTAAAACATGTTAATGTATTTTTTATTTTAAATAACAATCATTTTATTTTGATATATTCCAACTGTAACTTTTAAATAATTTATTATTTTATTTTTCTTAAATAATTTATTGATTTCAAAAAAAATGTAAAGCAAAACCAAAAACCAAATCTAAAAACCAAAAGATGAAAACACAAGTTATAATTTTTTTTTTTTTGCTTTTGTTTATCTAGAAAATAAACTATTGCAAATTTTTTTGTCGTCTTTTCAGTTTTAAAATGTTCGATTATTTAGGATTTGTTTGTTGGTAATATCAGTTTAAACTAACTCAACGGGTATAAAAATTAAAAACACAAACCAAAAGCTGAAAATCAAAAATAGAAACTTAAAAACTAAAAACCAAAAAACAAAATCTAAAAATAAAAACTGAAACTAAAAACTAATGAAAAACAACCATCACCACAAATTTTGGTGAATTGATTTTATACCAAAACATTCTTTAAATTAAGACAAAACCCAATTATATAAATTTTTAATCATAAAAAATTTCCGCGCTTTTAAGCGCGGATCAAAATCTAGTTCTTACATATGTCTTAGTTTACTATATGTTTATTTTTTATAAATACGTTAAAATATCTAAAACTAATTTTCGTGATATATTTTATATCTAAATGCAGCGCCATGAATTATCTTATAAGAATCCATGATTGACTATTTTACTTACATTATGTTACACTCATGTAAATTTTGCTCTGTTAATTTTCATAACTTATCTTCTACAATGTTCTAAATTGGGACAGAACCGGCCTTTGGACCAAGCCAACGCATAGACTTCCAGCCAACACATTTATCAATAAATTCTGGCCACAATTTATTAAATAATTACTTTAGTATAGTGGTACAATCTTGTGTACATTGTAAAATGACGACTCCAAGTTTAATTCTTTTTAAGAGTATATTTTGTTTTAGAAAAATGGCCACTTTTTTCTTTTGCTTCTAACCATGTAATTTTAGAACCGATTCTGACACTGAGATAAACATACATGAACCTTAGTCAAACTATCGTAATAAAGGGATTTTCATTAAAAAAATTACGATCTTAATATATTGTTTTTTTATAAATCTTAATATACTGTTACATACGCTAGTGGTGGCAATCTAGTAAATCCACAAAACAAGGAAGGGTATTAAACCATATCCCTAAAGCCTACATAAACCGTCAACCACTCACCTACAATCTTTACCGGAGCAAGAAATTCTACAAAAAAAAAAAAGTGAAAATGGTAAGCCAAAGCCATACAGCGACGTTACTCCTCTTCACCACCTTTCTCTTCATTTCCCGATCAATCTCAGCCGTTCATTCCCTTCCACGACTAAACGCAACAACCAACGACCTAGACTTCATCCGAACAAGCTGCAACGCTACTCTATATCAAGACCTCTGCTTCAACTCTCTCGCCGGCTACGCCTCCGTCGTTCAAGACAGTCCCGCGAGGCTAGCAAAGATAGCAACCGGAGTCTCCCTCTCAAAAGCCAAAGCCACGTTGGCTTTTCTCTCCAAACTCTCACACTCTGCCTCCGAAGTCAAAGACTGTGTTTCATACTTAGATGAGGCAGTTGATTCCATTAGAGACTCTCTGCGAACACTACGCAACATGAGCCGTGGAGGTGGCGTTGCAGCGGCTGAGTCGTCAGCAGAGACGTTTAGTTCAAAGGTGAATGATGTGCAGACGTGGATGAGTGCAGCATTGACGTATGAGGATACGTGTACGGACGAGTATGAAGAAATGGATGTCACAGGAGAGGTCAAGACGACTGTTTATGATCGGGTGAATACACTGAAAAGGTTTACTAGTAATGCTCTTGCCCTTGTTAACAATTATGGTAACAATGGAACCCCATGAGATGAGAGTATGAAATTAACTTTTAATTTAAATATTTCTTTTGATATTTATATTATATTGTTTAAGGTTTCTTTTGGTTTTCGAATACGTTATGGGTTTTAATTTTAAATAGATAACAGTGTGTGAGAAAAAAAAATGAAAGTTTAGTAGTGTAGCTTCAAAAAAGGTAGTAGGAAGTTCATGTTTCATTGCTTTGACTCTGTGTGGATATGCTTATGATTTGATGCATTGTTGTATCAACTTAGGGGTTTTGTTTTAATATGAGCTTAACGTGGGTTTGGATAGATGTTAAATTGTCAGATTTTGCATGTTTTGTTTGGTCAAAATAGTTACAAGAATTTACTTTCACAATTTCGAACTCAAATATAGCCTGACTTTAAATTTTAATCACTAAAAAAATAGATTAATGAAAACGACATAAGTAAAATTTCTCAAACATAAGTTTGAATCTCCTAATGAAGAACCTCACTTCTCCTCTCACATTTATTTTATCCTTTCTTCATTTTCTTATAATTTATTATACTCGGAAAAAAACTCAACCAATGCTAATATTCTAAACCTTTGGCTTGTAATCCCCCCACAAAAAAATCTTAATTTTCTCTTTTTTGTTTGATCAACGATCTTAATTTTCTCAAAATACCATAATAAGGTAAGGCTTAATTATAGTGTAAAAGGGCAATTGACGTTAAATCACTCTCTTTAGTAGCTGTTATCAGTTATCATACATTCTCCAGAATATGGGTTACACCATTCTTTGACTAAGAGCATCATTATCTAGTAAAAAAAAGCTTTTACTATATGTTTTATTTATTTTCTTTAGATATGTTCAAGTTTCTATAACTAAATTTTGTATGTATAACATTTTACATGTATAAATATAGTAGATAAGATCACAGTCATATGTCGACCAAACAAAAATCACAGTCATCTGAGTAGTTATATGAGTTTTGATGTGTTTTTCTTCTTTTCTCGACCCGTGAAATAGGTAGGACATATCCACGAGACCAAAAATTGATGTGTTCATACACATTTCATATTTGTTTGTTTCTTCATGGACCCACTCGCGAGTCCTTCCAAACAAACAAAAAACGTCTTCTGTTTTGTTCACGAGATCACTGTCACAAATTCACACAGGTTTTGTTCACTACATGCCGGTATTTGTGTACATATGAAAGGATATTACTGGTAATGAGAAACGATCTATCGTTGGAACTTGGAAAGTCCTTTTATACATACGTGCTTGGAGTATTCGTACGTACTTTAAGAGCAGATTTGACAATACAGACTTTTATTATTAGTTTTCTCAATGTTAAGTTAGATATAATGAATATTGGCCTACTTGAAATATATTTTCTCCAAAAATAATGCGCTTTTGAGCAGCAGGCTTAAGCATGACTATTAATATTCATAATGTTTATGTCGAAGTTCTTTTTTTTTTTTTTGTCAATTTGGTCACTTTTGGACCTATATCCTCAAACGGAGATAAGGAGGGGTCGAACCCCTGACGTCAGGGCCCGAAGGCAGAGCTCAGTTGCCACTTGGCTACGAACGACCCGACGTTTATTTCGTAGTTCTATTTCACTGTATTACTTAGGTGTAATGCATGTCCATGAAAGGCCCTCTTCTTCTTTTATAAATTTTGTTTATACAGTCAGAATGAAAAGAATAAAAGTTCACTACTCACCTTAATTAAAACTATGATCAAATATGCTTCCAAGTTGTGTTGTTGTGTAATCATTTGAGAAACGTAGCTCCCGTCTGAGACTAAAAGGAACAACAAAACCTTTGGAAATATTGAAATGACAAAGCACTCAACTGTGGGAGTGATTGGAATAATGTGTAATTTTATATTTTTGGCTGTAAAAAAATAAACTGTAGATTTATTTGATGTAATTTTGTAAAACACTACTTTTTTTGCTATATTGAAATGACAAAACACTCAACTGTGGGAGTAATTGGAATGAGGTGTAATTTTATGTTTTTGGCTGTAAAAAAAACTGTAGATTTATTTGATATAGTTTTGTAAAACACTATTTTTTGCTATATTAAAATGACAAAGCACTCAACTGTGGGAGTGATTGGAATGAGGTGTAATTTTATGTTTTTGGCTGTAAAAAAATAAACTCTAGATTTATTTGATGTAGCTTTGTAAAACACTATTTTTGCTATATTGAAATGACAAAGCACTCAACTGTGGGAGTGATTGGAATGAAGTGTAATTTTATGTTTTTGACTGTAAAAAAATAAACTGTATATTTATTTGATGTAACTTTTTAAAACACTATTTTTTGCTATATTGAAATGACAAAGCACTCAACTGTGGGAGTGATTGGAATGAGGTGTAATTTTATGTTTTTGGCTGTAAAAAAATAAACTGTAGATTTATTTGATGTAGCTTTGTTAAACACTATTTTTTGCTATATTGAAATGAAAAAGCACTCAACTGTGGGAGTGATTGGAATGAGGTGTAATTTTATGTTTTTGGCTGTAAAAAAATAAACTGTAGATTTTTTTGATGTAACTTTGTAAAACACTATTTTTTTGCTATATTGAAATGACAAAGCACTCAACTGTGGGAGTGATTGGAATGAGGTGTAATTTTATGTTTTTTGCTGTAAAAAAATAAACTGTAGATTTATTTGATGTAGCTTTGTAAAACACTATTTTTTGCTATATTAAGATGACAAAGCACTTACCTGTGGGAGTGATTATAATGAGGTGTAATTTTATGTTTTTCACTGTAAAAAAATAAACTGTAGATTTATTTGATGTAGCTTTGTAAAACACTATTATTTTGCTATATTGAAATGACAAAGCACTCAACTGTGGGAGTGATTGAAATGAGATGTAATTTTATGTTTTTGGCTATAAAAAAATAAACTGTAAATTTATTTGATGTAGCTTTGTAAAACACTATTTTGTTTTTCCTATATTGAAATGACAAAGCACTCAACTGTGGGAGTAATTGGAATGAGGTGTAATTTTATGTTTTTTGCTGTAAAAAAATAAACTGTAGATTTATTTGATGTAGCTTTGTAAAACACTATTTTTGCTATATTGAAATGACAAAGCATTCAAATGTGGGAGTGATTGGAATGAGGTGTAATTTTATGTTTTTGGCTGTAAAAAAATAAACTGTAGATTTATTTGATGTAGCTTCGTAAAACACTATTTTGTGCTATATTGAAATGACAAAGCACTCAATTGTGGGAGTGATTGGAATGATAGGCAATTTTATGTTTTTGGCTCTAAAAAAATAAACTGTAGATTTATTTGATGTAGTTTCGTAAAACACTATTTTTTGCTATATTGAAATGACAAAGCACTCAATTGTGGGAGTAATTGGAAAGAGATGTAAATTTATGTTTTTGACTGTAAAAAAATAAACTGTAGATTTATTTGATGTAGCTTTGTAAAACACTATTTGTTTGCTATATTGAAATGACAAAGCACTCAACTGTGGGAGTGATTGGAATGAGGTGTAATTTTATGTTTTTTGCTGTAAAAAACATAAACTGTAGATTTATTTGATGTAGCTTTGTAAAACACTATTTTTTTGCTATATCGAAATGACAAAGCACTCAACTGTCGGAGTGATTGGAATGAGGTGTAATTTTATGTTTTTGGCTGTAAAAAAATAAATTGTAGGTTTTTTGGCTGTAGCTTTGTAAAACACTATTTTTTTGCTATATTGAAATGACAAAGCACTCAACTGTGGGAATGATTAGAATGAGTTATAATTTTATGTTTTTGGGTGTAAAAAAATATAATGTAGATTTATTTAATGTAGCTTTGTAAAACACTATTTTTTGCTATATTAAGATGACAAAGCACTCAACTGTGGGAGTGATTGGAATGAGGTCTAATTTTATGTTTTTGACTGTAAAAAAGTAAACGGTAGATTTATTTGATGTAGCTTTGTAAAACACTATTTTTTGCTATATTGAAATGACAAAGCACTCAACTGTGGGAGTGATTGGAATGTGGTGTAATTTTATGTTTTTTGGTGTAAAAAAATAAACTGTAGATTTATTTGATGTAGCTTTGTAAAACACTATTTTTTGTTATATTGAAATGACAAAGCATTCAATTGTGGGAGTGATTAGAATGAGGTGTAATTTTATGTTTTTGGCTGTAAAAAAATAAACAGTAGATTTATTTGATGTAGCTTTGTAAAACACTATTTTTTGCTATATTGAAATGACAAAGCACTCAATTGTGGGAGTGATTGGAATGAGGTGTAATTTTATGTTTTTGGCTGTAAAAAAATAAATTGTAGATTTATTTGATGTAACTTTGTAAAACGCTATTTTGCTATATTGAAATGACAAAGCACTCAACTGTCGGAGTGATTGGAATGAGGTGTAATTTTATGTTTTTGACGGTAAAAAAGTAAACTGTAGATTTATTTGATGTAGCTTTGTAAAACACTATTTTTTTTTGCTATATTGAAGTGACAAAGCACTCAACTGTGGGAGTGATTGGAATGAGGTGTAATTTTATGTTTTTGGCTCTAAAAATTAAACTGTAGATTTATTTGATGTAGCTTTGTAAAATACTATTTTTTTGCTATATTGAAATGACAAAGCACTCAACTGTGGAAGTAATTGGAATGAGGTGTAATTTTATGTTTTTGGCTATAAAAATTAAACTGTAGATTTATTTGATGTAGCTTTGTAAAACACTACTCCCTCCGTTTCAAATTAATTATCATTCTGGAGAAAAATATTTGTTTCAAAATAAGTGTCGTTTTCAAGTTTTGAGACAAAATTTATTAGTTTTATATGATATTTTATTTTTCTATTGGTCTAAAAGTGGTTAGGTGTATAGGTAATTGTGTTTTTTTGTTGAAAATATGTGAAATTAAATGTTTCATTAATCTGTGTATAAAAACGTAGGGGGAGATTGGTTGGACTATAACTGTAGAAATTTTACTGAAGAAATTAGTTTGTAGAAATTTTGGATGTAGCTGTATCTAATGTAGCTGTAGAAATTAAATGAGAAAAAATGGAAAAAAAAAGATATTTCTACAACACTATTTTTTTGCTTTAGAAAATGAGGTTCCTACAACCATTTTTTTAAATTTTTAACTTTAGCTTTTAAAAACTAGTCAAAGCATGATTTGGTGATTTATATGGTTGTAGATAGAAAATAAAACTAAAGTCACTACTTAAAGCCCAACCAATCATCTCCGTAGAATGATAATTAAAATGAAACGGATGGAGTATTTTTTTGCTCTCGAAAAACTATCTGCAGCCATATTTTAGTAAAGGATTTTTGCTGTAAATTTTTAAATAAATGAAAACTTGATTGGTTGAACATATATAGTTATAGAACAAATTTTGGCTGGCTAGAGTATCTCGAGTAACAACCAATCAAGCCTTGTATCTTTCTTCAAAAAGAAAAGTAAAGAATGCAGATAAAGGGATTTACTCGTATATGCATAGATCAAACAAATCATGTGGATTATAATATTACTCGCACAAAAAAAATGACAATTCACTCTCTCTACATTCCACCAAAAAAACCAATGAAATACAAACGTGAAAACATAATCAATCAGATGAGACCAGTGCTGCGGAAGGGATTATTATGTTGGTTAACCGCAAAATCACCAAACCCACTGGTATTTGGCTGCTGAGAAACCGGGTTAACCGGGAATTCCCCAAAATCACCAAATGGGTTACTATTATTATTGGCTGGGGGGTTTGGTGCAACTGCTAGCTGTAGTTGATGCTGCTGCTGCTGATAAGTTGGCTGGTAAGCACCAAAAGGGTTGCTGACAGCTGGCGGAATGCCATTGGATACTCCAAAAGGATCGGCACCTTCAAATGGGTTGGGAGCTGGTGCACCGTAGACAGGGCGTTGGGAGGCTATGTAGGCTCCATCATCGTATAGACTGTTCAGTGTAAGAGTATCTAAGCCACCAGCCTATACACATTTAGTGGTTTTTTGAAAGGTTAGTCTACAAATGATATAATGAACTACATACAACACACTATAACAACCAAATTGCTAGTAACAAGGTTCTAGTATACAGTAATCCTCCTATGTGATTAGACTAACAATCAACTTCCTATTCTTAATGTTCCATAACTAACAATTTGCTAACAACAAGATTCCTAGTCTCATGTTTTGCAAATTTCTATAAAACAATGCATGTGAATGACTTTTCATAGTAAACCTGGGAGACTTTGTCCAGATATACTGTAATGGTCTATCCTACCTAGTCTTCTCAAATTTTGAGATCTCGGCTCAATTTTTTTGTGGAACATCTAAAGTCCACCAACTATCCAACCAAATCTTTAGCTCGGAAGTGAGCTCCACTGTTTAAAACATGAACAATGAGAAGACTACTTACCAATTGCCTATCTGTGGCTGCAGAGATATCATTGCTTGGTGTTGTTACAAGGGCAAGCTCCCATCCTGTAGGGTCGTAATCGTTTGCTTGAAAAGAACGAGTCGTTGAAGTGTTCCCTGGAAATAGAGACCAAGAACAGAAATGAATCAGCAAAAACGAAATGTAACAAGAATATTTATGGACATAACAAGAAGCTTACCATCATTTGAGATGATGGCTAAAGCAAGTGCATTTTGGTCCTCGATCGCTGATGCATCAGGAGCGACCGTGTTCAGGCCCTGCGAGGATAATTCAACAAAGAGAACCAGAGAGGTCAGAATAGCAATGGAAATCAAAACTGAAATCAAGAATCATAAGTAACAATAATAGTATATTCACCAGTAGATCATCTGTATCGATGATGTTCTGAGACTGAGTGGTAGCTGAAGGAGGAGGAGGCGGTGGAGAATGTTCTGTCTCTTCAGATGCAAGAACGACATCATCTGAAGGCAACACAACTTCACGTTCTTCATGAGACGGTTCTGTATCTTCATCAGGAAGCCCATCATCTGCCCTATAAGTTAGAAGCTGGGGATGTAGACAACTTCGTTAGCACATAAGAAACATAGAAAGAGGCAAACATTCTTGAAAATTAGAAATAATGAATATACCAGTGGTTCAGCTGGGGCATCGACAGTACGAGGTGCTTCTTTAATATACTCTTCCATTGTTGTTAGAAAAGATTGTGGAGGCTGAAGAAAACAAAAATAACACACTGCAGTAAGTAACATGTACACACAATCATTAGCCATTTAGTTTAGAAAAGGCTCATCTAATACCTCTCTTAACACAGGAAACTGAAAATTCCTAGCGAGTTCCAACCCTTTACAAGCTTCATAGAATTCAGAAAGGCTACGAGCCTGCAAATTTTTCATTATCTCTCGTTAGACAAGAGAGTGACTACACAAGTGATGTCTAAAAAAAGTCCAACAGGCATCACCTGTTGACCAGCACGCTTGTATATTTCAAGCGAAGTGATGGCTTCATGTTTTGGCATTTCAAAGAACTGCAATAAATGAAAAAAACTCAGCAGGGAGAGAAGGAAAAAAAGATAGAGAGACATGATAAGTTTGATGGCAAAATACAAACTAGACCTTACCTTGTCAATGAGGTTGATGATTCCATCATTTATAGCACAATAGACTTTAAAACTCTCCTTCAACACCTATCATTCCATCACAAAATAAGATAAGAAACTTTCAACATTTGCAGAGCAAGACACCAACAACAGTCTCTATGACCAAGATTCACTATCACATACCAGAGCGAGTGCATATTGGATAACATGATTGTGGTTAGCAGCGCCTTCTGGCTGTCAAAAATTAAAAACAGTTCATTGATCAGAAAATGCAGCTACAAAAAAATCAGCTACACAAACAAATAAGAAAACAAAAGAAAGTACCTTGCAACCAATGAGACGATAGAGAAGCTGCTGCAAAGCAGGCAACTGAAGCAAGAGTTCTTCACCATCCAAATCCCTGGTTCTACTGTACCCCTGCCAATCCATTACCATACACACTCTAAACCATCAGTAACAAAATAAAAGAGGTTTCAAACGCAAGAAAAAAAACAAATAATTAGATACCTTATCCTGCCCTGGGGTAGCTTTGGAAAGAAGTTCAGCCTCAGTATCATATCTCAAAACCCTGAAGCATTCAAGCCGTTCCTCAAGGAATAATGCGTAAGTACGTACCCAAGCTGAACAATCCCAAGCTGTAAAAGTAACAAAAAAAAACAATGCCAATTACACTCTATATAAACCTCTTTTGGTTCAAAAACATATATGCCTAGACTGAATTGACGAGTGAAGACTAACCGATAGGGCCTGAATCATCCTTGAAATTAGATATCTGCAGAATCCGACCTCTCTGTGAAAAATTTAGAAGCTCCTCTCTGAATGTAGGGTCTCCTTCCCTTAGGAGCCGGTGAATCACAATGAGTGTTTTGAGTGCAACCTGTTGAAGCAACAATAGAGAGAATTACACATCAAATTTCAAACCCTAAGCATCCTATCGTCCGAAAACAATGAGCAGAGCAGGTCTTGAGGTTTTTGAACTTTAAACAGTTAATAAATTATTTTTACAATTACTAAATAATTAATAAATGTAGAACAAGATAATAGTTCGATAGTTCTGATGAGGAAATAGTCCTTTAAACCCTATGGGTCAATAAACCCTATGGGTTAGTGTTCTAAAAATCGGTCTAGGCAGCATATAGGGTGTCAATTTAGTTGGCAAATGGGATATGAATGAAAAGCTTTCTTTCAAAAACCAGTCTAGGTGTTCAAAAAATCGGCCTCCACACCCAACTAACCAATAATACTCTATAAAACGTCTAATCTCCGCCTAGCGATTTTTAGAACATTGCTATGTGCTATAAGAATGAAAAGCTTTTTATTCAAAAACCAGTCTAGGTGTTAAAAAATCGGCTTAGACAGACCAACTAAACAATAATGCTCTATAAAAAGTCTAATCTCCGCCTAGCGATTTTTAGAACATTGCTATGCACTATATGCCCAGAACCTGGCCTGAAAGAGAGAGAGAGAGTAGAGTGAGTACCGTCCAGTTTCTGGTTTTATGCAAGCGGCGGGAAAGAGCGTGAATACAATAGGCAACATCTGCTCGAGCACGTGTCACTGCTGTTGCCGCGAAGATCTCTGCAGCAATATCATTTTCAAAAGAGCAACGGTAAAACAATTAGATCTAAGGATTCCACGACAAAAAAAAAACACAACAAAAAAAAAATGAAAAAACAAAACTCACTTCTGAGATGACGATCTTTGGGAGGACACTCGACATGATTCGTAGCTTTGACTATAGCAACATCTAAATCCTATAAATAACATTCAAATTAAAAAAAAAAAATAATCAAGAATCTATCAGAGAGAGAGTTTTTTGTTATGAAAAAGATTTAAACAAAGCGCGTACAGCGTAATCGCTGTTAACTCTGACAAGCCCGACTTTGGTTGTGTCTTTTAGAGCTCCATAAGCTTTACGCCATGTCTGCAACGTTCCCATCGGAAGTAGACTCCTTCTTCAGATCTCTTCCGGTGATGACGTGTCTCACTCTCCAAGCTTAGATTCTTTCCCGAGAAAACCTCCCCGAAAACTCACGACTTCACGAGGTATCACTATCGAAAGAGAGAAGCAAATGGTGAACAACCAAAAAGGAAGTCTTTCCGTTTTTAAATGTCAATAAATTCATACCAAAAATAAAAGAGAGTCGAATTAATATGAAAATGATAATTAATGGAATTTTCTTACCAAAATGAAGAAAGAATTTATTTTCTTTTGATTTTATTGGACTTTTAATATCTGTACAATAAAAAAAAAATCTTTCTATATTACATCATGATGAATTTTGAGGAATTTAATAGTAGGATTCATAATTAAAGCTCACGCAAAGCATAATTGGTAATGATATATATTATTGAAAATTTTGACAGTACTAATGACCAAACTAATAATTTAGAATAGAATCTGCTCCTCTGGATTGTAATCTATTGTTGCACTTTTTTTTATTATACAATCCATAAAGCCATATGTGCCTATGTATAAATAATAATAAACACATATATAAGCTTTACAGATTTTTATAGATGATTAATAAAAATTAAAAAGCTAAAGGAATACGGTGGAGATTACAGATGGGAGATTGAGAAATGTTGGCCACCTAACCAACATCAGCCAACCACAGTTTTTGTCGATACACGGCTATTTGGATGACATTCTTACAGACACTGGCGACTCATGGCTCACACTACTTCAATTTTATTGATAACGCTAATGTAGTGGCTGATTTTGATTATAGTTATCTTTTTTTTTTGCTGCTACAACCTCAAATTTGATAACTGGTATATATTTGGATTCTATATGTAATCAGTGAAACACTGAAATGAAATGGTATATAACTCTCGTTTGGTAAAAAAAAACGTTATATTTCTTATGAAGTAGAGCTGCAACATTATACTTTTAAACGTTTCTTCTTGCAAGATATGTGTTTAGGCATATACTTTTCTAACTTAGATTAGAAAGGCTGCAACTGATCTATATCCCAGCAAACAAGGACTTTGAGCGTCAAAATGTATGACAATATGCATTAATTTGTGAGTTTTTATACTATTTAAGTTTACAAATAAGCATGATTTCTTTTCGGGCATTATATTTATCTTGGGTCGGGCATGTAGATTAGAAATCGACGTGCCAATCAAAAATATTTGGGCCTTTATAACTTTTGGGTTTTGATGAAAGGGTTTCTAAAATGTACTAGTATATCATATGATCCATATATCATACTAAAAGTAAAAAAAAATGTAAAATTTCCTGATGATCATGGCTTAAATATGTGAATAAAGGTGTTACTGTACAATCACATTAATAAGTTATCAAGTAATGGGAGGCTAAAGGGAAGTTTGATTACTCCACAAGCTATAAGCAGAGACAAAACCCATATTGGAAGAATCCATTAAACTGTAAATATCAAGACTGGTTTACCTGCAACATCAATCATCCGACTATGGTATAAGAGTTATGTGATTATCACTATTCAAGAAAATAGCAAGAATGAGATTTTGAGAAAATAAACAAACCGGAGGAAAGAAACTTAAGACTATATTCGGTATACCACCATCGGTTTTTACTACAAGGTTGCCTTGCACTAGAAGAAGTCTTTACTTTCATACAAAAGGATAAAGGGTGTGTTCAACCATCGTTACTTTCGTAACGTTTAGTCATTAAACGTTACAACAATCGTTTTCTCAAGGCTAATCGCTCTATACCAAACCCCTACCCACTATTAAACACCATTATCAAATCATTAAAATGGGAATCATAAGAAACACAACAGAAAAAAATTTAAATCCACCACCATAAAGAAAATGTCAGATTCCGACATAGAGACCAACAGCAACCACAGTATCAGTAACACCTCAACCACATCAACGACAAGCGTTCATGTTTCAGCTCTCGACGGTATAGTGAACGCAAATTCTCTCTTCACGGTCGCAGTCTTTGTTGGACTCTCTTTTGACCAACCACGTGACCTCACTCTCACGGACCGTGCCGAGTGTAACGCGGGACTAGACGTGGAACGATACCTAATTGTGTTCGAAGTCATCTCATTTGCATTTTTCCTCTTCTCCTCTCTCGTGGCTCAAGGGCTGAAGCTAACCATCAACTTGTTGAACAGTAAAGAAACGGACGAGGTGTTTAAAGCAGATATTGATTGTAATCTGCTTCGTCTCGGTGTGGTTGGTGCAGCTGGTGGATCTATAATGGGCTGTGTGTTCCTTTTGTTGTCAATGGTTGAAGTTATTCAGCTCCGTCTTGGGCTGCTCTCTTGTGGTAACTCATTGGCGGTTCATACCGTGTTGGCGCTTGTGGTCTTGGCCTCTTCTGCTCTCAGTGTTTATATCTTCACTGTGTTTTACTCTTTCAGGAAATGATTGAATATTTTTATATGTAAAGACTTAAGAACTCTTAACACGTGTAAAGTAACATATAGTTGTGAGATTAGTTGTATAAGTATACACATGTATCTTGGTATCCATTAAATTGAAGTCCAATACAATGTATGAAGAAAACACATGTATCTAGATTTAAACGCAAGCTTACATGAGCTATTTGCTTTTCTATCTAGCAAAGCTTTTAGAGTATAAGTGTATAACTCTTCTTGTTTTTTTTTGAATATGATATCAGTATCTACGTAATGAAGGATATATTGTTTAGATAACGTAGCATATATGCATCATTCGGTTGAAAAGATGGTTACCAAGAATGCAGGGCCGGTCCTGGGCTAAAGCCCGTAAAGCTTGGGCTTTAGGCGCCAAAATATCTATATAATTTCAGGGCGCCAAAATATAACAATTTAGGATCGTAGGTGTAGTGGTTTGAGATGTGTTTTGACTCCAGAATCAACGCAGGTTCAAGTATTGCTTCTACTAATTTTTATTGGTAATAAGTATAACTAAAAAATCCACCAAATTTTGATTCCTTTATTGACTATTTTAGTTTCCGTATATATTTTATCAAATGCTGTAACCTATAAAACAAAAACATATCAACTAAAAAAACTAATTTGTTTTTCTAAATAGCAGCCATCCACCGTATACAATTCATCTTTCCTCTTTTTTTTTTTTTTGTTAGAATTTTAACAATTTCATGATTTTATTATCCTACTCATGTATGTGTTTCTTCTCATATATATATTAAAAACAAAGAACCAATATATATGAAATATTTATATTTACAAAAAAATAATATGAAATATTTTTTGTAGGGAATAAATACTCTGTTGGATTCTCTCATGCTTTAACAATCGAAAAATCACTAAAATTTACAAACTAAACAGATTTCACAGTGATCTTGTCTTGTCTTGTGTTGTTATTCTAATTTTCATGCATTTGTAGAAAGTGTTGCTGGAAACAAAGTAAGAACTCAGCTAAATAGAGAAATTGATGTAATTCCCCAAACTCACAGTGTTCTCAAGTAACAAGTTGATTGCAGGGGAAAGTTTAAGAACTATTACTTTTTCTTTTAAAATAGTTTGAAAGCTTTTCGGTCATATTTTGTTATTGAGAAAAACAATTTTAGATTTTTGTTTTTGTTTTAGAAATTGTTTGTTTTAAAAAAAAATTTGTTAGAGGGCATCAATTAGTTGATGCGCTTTAGGCGCCACAGATATCAGGACCGGCACTGCAAGAATGTGAACTTTGTGAAACTTTAGGTACATCTCTCTCGGGTTTTAGCAAAACCACTAACCGTTCCGCAATTAATCGAGCTTAGTCTAAGAGAATTTAATTAGACATTAGAGACGGTAAGATCACACAAATTTATCGAATAGAATAAGAGTATCTCCAATGGTATTCTATTTTCTCTTCTAAACATCAAATATAGAGTAAAAATCATTCCAATAGTATATTAATTCTATCAAATATAGAGAGATGAACAGTATTAATCCAAATATGGAGTAATACTATTCATTTATTCTATTTTTGGAGTTAGACTTTTTTTTACAAAATGATCTCTCATTTTTAATAAGTTTTCATTTTTATCTAAATTGAATTATATGTTAAAATTTTGCATATTTAATATTATTAAATTAATTATTAAATTATGTTAAACTTTAGATGGACGAATAACTTATATTAGATTATAAAATTCAGAAAATAATAATTAATAAACTAATGATACATAAGCAATAACAAAATTTAAAAAAAAAAACTCAAACTTATCATAACACACATTATGATATAATACTCTAGGTAATTCAAATTACTGAAGACATGTGTTTGAAGTAGACACTTTAGTTCTTTAGGTAACTCAATGTTTTCTTTACAACATCAAAATGGTAAAATATGAGGGTGCAAATTCAACATTTTAAAAATTATGGGTTAAATAACAAATTATTAAATAAATAGAAAAGGTATATAGTAAACATATTAGTTTTTAGAATAAAAAATAGATGTAATCATTGGAGCAAAAAACTTCCTCTATTTTGAGAGTACTCTATTTTTGAAATGAAAAAAATAGAAGTAACCATCGGAGATTTAATAAAACTATCAATGACAATAGAATTGGATGTGCCGACATGAAAATCAAGAAACCACCAAGAACATTCCACAAATATTCATAAGAGACCGAATACTAAAAGTTCATTTAATCAATGGGGCATGATCAATTTGGCTTGAATATGGCATTTCGGAATCATAGTCACTCCCTATCTCTTACGGAACCCTTTGGTGTAGTCTGGTGGTTGAAACTAAATGACATTTCCCTTACCCCTGCGCTGCCCAATACGACAAGTGACAACGTGTAAATGTTGCGATAATTAAACGCGTCGTTGCATCAGGCTATCATGACATGACTTGAAAATTCCACATTTCAAATATGAATGACGATTAGCAAAAACAATATGATCAAATGCCGAGTTAATGGATTGGAATCATGATTATCTTACATATTTGTATTTGGTAAGTCCAACTGATTGTGTTTTTTTTTTTTTTGAAATACATTACCAAAAGAAGAAGCTAGTTATCAAATTATGTTTGACTTTCCTGCATAATGAATTTTCTAGAAGATAAGTAGGGTAATGGTACCATAGCTTCGACGTAACACGTTAAATAAATTATTTCAGAAAAAGTGCAAATAACGAGACCACCACACATACACAAAAGGGACATGTACGGTTTTTGGCGAGTGAAGAGGCAATTTTCAGATTTTCTCATCGATGGTAACCGTTTTAAAGACTCTTGTGTTAAGTTATGATTCATTATCTTGGATGAAAACATTGTAAGTTTCATCTAGTGTAACCACAAGTTCCTTTGATAGCAAATTTGATAATAACCATTGTTTTATGATCTCCTCCATAGGTTGAATAAGGAAAGAAAACCGAAAACAAATATTTCTCATATGTTTTATAATTAGTGTATTTTGACACTTTTGCTACAAAAAAATATTTTAGAATCTTATATGTATTTTAAATTTAATATTAGTTCCAGAATATTTGATTTTATAAATAATTTTAGTTTTCTTTAATATTATTGTCAGTAAATATAATTATTAAGAACATAAATACATTTCAATCATTTTTTTAATTTGTGTTAGATGTGAAAGTGTCACTCTTCATTAAACTGAGAAAATACTTAAGTGAAAAAGAAGGTCGAGAGGGAGAAATGCATATGAAAATATTAAAAGTGATCATCTAAAAAAATTGCTAATCCAAAAAATTAATGGGGAAATTTTTTTTTTCTTTTTGACAAACATTAATGGGGAAATTTCTCATAAATCAAGTGTGTATTTTAAGGTTCTGATATCATATTTAAAACTAGCCTCAAATAACAGCTTTTTCATTTATAGAGAGAATAATGACTTCAATCCGGTGATTATTTTATGAATGAAATAAATAATTAATATAAAATACTCATTTGAGAAATTAAATAAATATAAAATCATAAGTTTTTGTTTAACATATTTTCTCACCAAAACTGATAGAGTAATATCTTCATAAATTCATTTAAACATGAAGACATGAGAGAAATATATTTTGTACAAGTGTATTTTAACCTAATATTGGACAAAACCTTGACTTTAATCAAGAAGCCCAAGGGCCCAAAGGATCACTACTACATAACATTTAGTTTGTTTGATAACCAGTGGTGCGAATGTAAATCTTTTGGATCCTCTTTCGATATTGTACCTTTGCGTTTTATCTTGATAATAACTTTTTTTATTATAACTTAACTTGGGTTGGGTTGATGCATGTTTTTATATGTCAAGTGGAAAACAGTTGTTTTTAACATGATATTGAGAAGATAGGCTCTACAACATAGTAGATTCTTGAGAGGCAGTGAGAAATATGTTGTCATTTATAATTCTTTTATATATTATAGGAATCTCAAAGTTATTGTCACACCTGCTAATAGTAAAGTGATAAACCATATCAGGAGAAATTATTCAAGAAGATAAGGCAAAATCTTCTGAAAAAGATTCCCAGTCTCATCAAATAAGATTAAGCATGTCGCCTTCTCGGGTCGCAGTCTTCTACATGTCCGCCTGTCGGCAAAACCTGTCTTTTAATCAATGATCATACCCGCTTTTATTTACTTTCTCTGAGTGTAATACTTGCATACTATTTATGATGATGTAATAAAATGAGTTTTGTTGAGACCAGTGATTAGTTTTGTAGGATAATACAGCGAATATTAATATGGATAAATCCATAAACGAACCACCTTTTTATTCACGTGGACTTCATGCGTCTCGCACCTGAAGCCGACGAAAGCAAATTTGTTCTTCCTCCTCAGTTCTCTTCCTCTTGTTACTTATTTCATGCGTCTCTTTGTATAAAGCAAGTTAAAGATATTTAACTATTTTTATTTTGACTCGCTTTGACGTCGTAGATCTCAAATATTATTAACTCGCAGCACTGTGTCCCCCTCTGGGAAACCGATTCTTCGCCTTTTTTTTCTTATTACCGTGCGCACGCATACCCTTCTAACCTGTACATTATACAATTACAATGTATTCGTCGTTGTTGACTTGTTTTTTTATCTTCAATTATATGCGACTGGAAACACTTTAATAAGATGAAAAAAAAATTTGTAGTATAGAGAACAAAATTAGTGAATAACAGTAAAGTGAATACATAAACAACACTCTACTGGATTATTCTTCAAATATGAGAGTAAGAACTTAACATTTAAACCAAAAGAACTGGACTAACATCTTTTGATGTGATTGTGAAAAAGAGTAACTGAAAGTAAAATATTTTCTCTAACCCTACCAAACAATTACACCTTTACGTATTATAAATTTATAACGTATATATATATATATATATATACTCTTTTTGGTGCTAATGTTAAGATGTATATATATACTTAATTATTTTTTGAATGAAAAAGAAACTTATATTAATGTGTATATAAATATATCGGGAAACGACATTTGGAGATGTGAATGTGAAGTTCACATGGGTATAGTTTGTTTCAGATTTCTGCATAGATTCCTTGAACTGGCAGAATAATCAGTTACAAAAATAAAATTATTTTTGAACTTAAAAATAAAATATATATTGCAATGTTGGGTTTTTTTCACATGTATTCATTCTATTAAGTTGTTCTCACGAAAACAAATTTATATCATTTCCTTTCTCTAAATAAACTTACTTCACAAATTAGAAAAAGCAAATTTGAAGCGTATAACAAACCATTATTCCAAACAAAGCTCAAAATGATCTCAAACCATTTTAAGGTAATAATAACGAAATCAATATATCACAAATTCACAATACAGCTAAAACATAGTAATGCCCATGTAAAATGACTAATCCCTTCAACTTTGATTTTTAAGAAATCTAAAATTGTGTTAATTACTGATACTTTCCCATTGTAGTAACATCATTGTATGATACTGTATTACTTTTGAGGGGTGTAATTTTTCTTTTTTCTTTTCTAATATATTTCGTCAATTTATGAATTAAAAGTATGTGCTAGTAATATCTTTTCGGTTAGTTCAATTATTTCAGTGTTCAAAAGAAAAAAAAAAGTTCAATTATTTTTAAATGGAAGTGGCACATGACATGGAGGCAGGGCGTGCAGTTCACACTCCGGATCGACGGTGGTTATATAAAGGTGCTCACTTTCATGCTTAGACGACACGTACGCAATTTCCAGACTGTCTATAGCTATCTCTTATTCACGCGAGTATCTCTTCCTCGTGGGAAACACGCACATTTGTTTTATTTATACTTTGGTTAGTTGAAATTTTAAATTTACTTTGGCTTTGATAAAAAAAAAAGTTTTACTTTGGCTAAATATATCCATGTTTAGATTCGTATGTCTTGAATTCGATATGTTGTCTTTTTAATAAAAACTAACATACTAACATTTTATTACTTCTTCTTAAATACTCCCTCCGTTTTATATTAAGTGTCGTTGTAGAGAATTTTTTACATTACAAAATAAGTTATTCATTTTATTATGTAATTTGTTTTTCTATTGGTTAAAATATGGTTAAGTGTATGAATAACTGCGTTTTTATATAGGAAATATGTAAAATTATTTGTTTTCTTAATTTGTGTGTACAGCCGTAGAGTTACACTTATGATGAAACAGAGGGAATAATACTAAACGTTAATTTTTGTAAGTTTTTTCCTTTTGATTTACCAAATGTCTAAAATAATTCAAAATTTACACCACAAAAAAAAATTTTGATAAGCTGAGAGAAAAGAAAAGGAATAATTCTACTTCTGGTATTCATGCAATTTAGGTGCCCCTACCAACTATGAGTGGCCTCCCTGCCACCTCATATCAATTGATGGCAATTCACATATATGTTTGTACATTTACATTTTTGGTAACTCTATTTTATTTAATTGTATTTATTTGTTATGTGGTTTGCAAGAATAATTTGTTATGACAGGTGATTTGATACCACATTCATTTTCTGTCTTCCACCACCAGAAGGAAAAATCAACGAGAGAACTTGATTGCAAATCATGATATACATACAGTGTTATGTATAAGAAGAATTCACAAATTAAACAATTTCCATTTGAAAAGAAAATGTATACATATTATTATTCATCGGCCGTTGCATCTGTGATGATATATTTACGTTTTCGTGGAAGAGTCATACTATATAGATGAACCATCAAAATCATGCGAGAATAATTAGGTTCTTTAATGTAATAATGCACTGATGGTCGAATCAGAATGAAGGAATTTTAATTTATAACTTATTATGTCGAGTCAATAATAATATTATCTTATCTTAAAATTTTAAAAATCGTGTTTACGTATTAAACATAGGTATATAGCGTAATCACCACTTTTCTGTCTGTTGTTATACGTACATTTTGATTACTGCTCTTCCGTTGAATATAGTTTTATAAAATTTTTAAAAAAAAAGAATTATAGCAACTATAATGTATTGTTTTGAAAAATGAAATCTGGCAATATATACGCTCAGTATGGTTATTGTAAAAATATATTTTATCATCAGTTCTTCTGATTATCATTTAGTTGGAACCTAAGGTTGGTAAGAAATGGAAGCTAATAGATAGTGATAGATAAATCACATGTATCCGAATCAAAATATAATTAATACTTAGTTGGCAAAGAATAAAATAACTATTACAGAACGTATACTATGTTTTAATTGTCTTCTTTATAAAAGAAATATTTATTAAGTGTATGATTCACATAGATTTGCTGGTCGATGTGCACATACATAAAATTATATGTAAATTATGTTTATGCCACCGTGGAACATATAACTAAAATTGTTATTTTTAAACATATAACTAAAACGTCTAATTAATTAGAGTATAGGCTCAATGAGTAATTGATGTTTATCATTTTACTTTGCATTTACCTTCTTAACTATTTAAACTTTTATTTTACTCATTGCCTTTATTGATAAGCAAGATGAACTGTAATTTGATAAGAAATTACATTAAAAAAATGGTAAACAATTTCCTAGAAAGAAAATATGAAAGTTTTGATGGTCATGCATTGTGATAATTTAAATGTAGACAGATTTCAACTCAGATTTCATAGGATCCATAAAACGCCATGTTACCATTCGATCATAGACACGTGGTTAAAGAATTACATAAGCTTGTAAAATATGTTTAACCGTCTAATGTTATCTCAAAAAATGTATTTTAAAGATTTGGAATATAATTTAGGTGATCCTCCTGATCATAATAGTTATAATTAATCATACTGTACAGTAAATTTCACAATGGCGAGTGTCAACGGAAATGTGAACCAAATATATATAGTAAGAAAGTGACGTAACATCACATATTAACATGTAACCATCAAAGTTAAAAAGGATAGAGATCAAAATAAAAAAGGACGAACCAAAGAAAAAGGAATCCGTAAAAACGGCCGTCAACGGAAGCAGACTCAGGGCCTACCGTTTAGATCTTAGAAAATAGGACACGTGGATGAATCACATGAATAGTAGGGACCACAAATTCGAACGGCGTACATTTACTGAAAGCAATACCCTTCAATAGATTGTGGGGCCAACTACACGTGGAGCCATCACGTGCTGTCAGTTCGTGTTTCCCGAAGGGTACGAATATTTATTTAATATATCTCTTATATTTTTAACATCTGATATTAAGCAGGCCGTTAATGACGGCGTTAAGCAATGCTAATACACTGACGGACGTGGCCGTTGTGCTTAAAACCGGGTTTTCTTGTCGCATAATGGTTTAGTCTCATAATCTTATCAACTGCTCAAGCGATTATAGTGAAATTTTACTTTATTTAATAACCACTGTAAGTCTGTAACAATTTGCATTACTAGCGAAACGTGATTTAAAGGCAGTTAAAATTACTAATTGTTCAACTATCACTGATTTTAACCCGCGAAAGTAGTTGCTCCTTACTTATCATGCTTGATAATTTACATAATTGAACTTTTAGACAAAATGGTATGGGATTAAATACGTTTATGTGTATTTGAATATTATGTAGTCTTTGTTGTCTTCGTAAGTTCAAAATGCTAGTTATTTTATGTATAGACTTTGACAGTAATAGTAGATTAGCATGTTCACTGAACTAAAAATAGGTTCAACTAGACATTTTCAAGTTTATAAGATCTAAGATGATAAAAGAAAAAGATCCAATTAGTTGTTGAATCCTGACGGGAAAAGTCTGTGAGTGATCGATAGCTATTTTAATCGTACACATCTCGAAAATTAGAGAATAAATATAGACCTAATTCTTAAATAACTAAAAACGACTCGAAAATTGAAACGCATGGGTTCGATGATTTTCCAAAACCCAATTGCAGAATATGATTTATAAATATGAATGAATGCATACATATTGTGGGACTTACTGTTGTTGTAACCAAAACTACTGTTATTTTTCTGAGTATACGCATTTTAAGATTGATGTTTTCGATGGCCTGTGTTAAATAAATTTGCTGGAAAAGTAGTAAGGAAATCAGACTGTGAAATTATTTTACTTAACTCCCACCCCGAGACATGGTTGGTTGAATTATTATCACCACTGAATCCTGGGAAGTAAAAACAGTATCATCATGAACTGAGTTCAGCTTTTAAGTCAATTTTAATCACCCACTGGAAAAGCATCTTCAGTTCTCCCATCAAAAGAATCAACTCAAAAGCCCTAAATCTCTACTATTTTAAAGGTTTTACAAAAGCTTAATGATTCCCATTCTTATTGATACATTTTCCAACACTTAAAACCAAGTAATTACAAAAAAAAAAATGTTGGTTAAAAGACAACATTGTAGTAGATCCACCACTCTTTTACAAAATCTCGTAATGACATATGAGCTACCCATTGACAGCAACAATGAAAGTAAATAATCTCATCAAAATTAAAAACACCATTTCTGTTAAATAGGTTGCAGTTATTGTAGTACTATAAAAAAAAGAATATTTGTACTCTATACCTATAACATTTACTATATTTGCACTTCATACCCAATTTCCCCCCAATTTTTTTCCCTCCATCTTCACTATTTCCCCATAATTTTAGGCATTTTCTTAATTATTACATTCTTCTTGTATTTTCAGCCAATTCACCCAAAAAAAAAATTTAAATATTGTATATATTCTCAGCCTTATCGCTTTCGAGGTGTAGCTGTTAGCCCTCCTCTGGTACATGATTCATTGGTCGTCGAGCCCCATCACCACCATTCTTTACTCAATTAAAATTTTATCCATTAAAAATAAACATTTTTTTTCATTTTCTCTGATAAATATCAAAATTTATTTTTAGTATTCTCTATAATCATCATTGAAGTGGTAGCAGAAGTGAAAAAACAAAGCAATCCCCCGATTGCTTAAGATTCCTCACCTAGTCACATGCTCCCTCCTCTTCTTCCTCACCCCCCACAAAAAAAGCAAACCCTAGATCCAAGATCAAACCCCCTCAGACCAAACCAGAGTTAAACTAAAATCAAAAGACATGAAGAGAGATCTCCATCAGTTCCAAACTCCAGACACTAGATTCCCAAACCACGGGACAGCAACAAACACCAGTTCCTCTTCTAAAGACAAGATGATGATGGTTAAAGAAGAAGACGACGGTGATGAGCTTCTCGCCATGTTAGGCTACAAGGTCAAATCCTCGGAGATGGCCGAGGTCGCGTTGAAACTCGAGCAGCTAGAAACGATGATGGGTAATGTCCAAGAAGACGGTTTATTATCCAACCTCGCCACGGATACTGTTCACTACAACCCTTCCGAGCTTTACTCGTGGCTTGACAACATGCTCACCGAGTTCAACCCGCCGCCGCCGCCTCCGGAGATAAACAGCTCGTTTCTCACCGGAACCGCCTCCGATTACGACCTCAAAGCCATCCCTGGAAACGCAATCTACGCGAGATCCTCCTCTTCCTCCAACCAACCTTGTGACAACAACAACAACAGTAAGCGTCTGAAGTCATGCTCGAGCCCTGATTCGATGCTTACAACAACCACAACCCTCACCACCGCAACTGAGTCAACTCGGTCCATGGCTACTGAGTCAACTCGGTTCACTGAGTCAACTCGGTCCATGGCCACTGAGTCAACTCGGTCCATGATCATTGAGTCAACTCGGTTAAACGAGTCAACTCGGTCCGTCCCCACCGAGTCGACTCGGTCGATGGTCCTGGTGGACTCGCAGGAGAACGGCGTGCGTCTGGTCCACGCGCTGATGGCCTGCGCGGAGGCGGTACAGAGCAACGACCTGTCCTTAGCCGAAGCCCTCGTGAAGCAGATCGGTTTCTTGGCCGTGTCCCAAGCCGGAGCCATGAGGAAAGTCGCCACCTACTTCGCCGAAGCCCTCGCGCGGCGGATCTACCGCCTCTCTCCGCCTCGTTCACACGTCGACCACTCCCTCTCCGACACACTCCAGACGCACTTCTACGAGACCTGCCCTTACCTCAAGTTCGCCCACTTCACGGCCAACCAAGCCATCCTCGAAGCCTTCGAAGGGAAGAAGCGAGTCCACGTCATCGATTTCTCGATGAGCCAGGGGCTCCAATGGCCCGCGCTCATGCAAGCCTTAGCGTTGCGAGAAGGTGGTCCTCCTGTTTTCCGCTTAACCGGAATAGGACCTCCGGCGGCGGATGGTTCGGATCATCTGCACGAGGTTGGTTGTAAGCTCGCTCAGCTCGCGGAGGCCATACACGTTGAGTTCGAGTATCGCGGCTTCGTGGCGAGCAGCTTGGCTGATCTCGACGCGACGATGCTTGAGCTGAGGCCGAGTGAGACAGAAGCTGTGGCGGTTAACTCGGTTTTCGAGTTGCATAAGCTTTTAGGTCGTACCGGTGGGGTTGAGAAGGTTTTGAGCGTTGTTAAAGAGATTAAACCGGTGATTTTTACTGTGGTTGAGCAGGAATCGAGTCATAACGGACCGGTTTTCTTGGACCGGTTTACGGAGGCTTTGCATTATTACTCCACGTTGTTTGATTCGTTGGAAGGTGTTCCGAGTAGTCAGGATAAGGTTATGTCGGAGGTTTATTTAGGGAAACAGATTTGTAATTTGGTGGCGTGTGAAGGTGCGGACCGGGTTGAGAGACATGAGACGTTGAGTCAATGGGCGAACCGGTTTGGTACGTCCGGTTTTGCGCCCGCGCATCTTGGGTCTAACGCGTTTAAGCAGGCGAGTATGCTTTTGGCGTTGTTTAACGGTGGGGAAGGGTATCGTGTGGAGGAGAGTAATGGGTGTTTGATGTTGGGTTGGCATACTCGGCCGTTGATAACGACTTCCGCTTGGAAGCTCGCGGCGGCGCGTTGAGTGGGAATGGAGAGATGAGGTTGGTGGTGGTGTTGACACGGTTGTTTTTGAGGTTTCAAAATCAGTGGACCGGTGATGAGATATGTTCGGGGATTAGACCAAAAAACCGAACTGAATCGAACCGTTTTGCGTTTTGTTTTAATTTATTTTCCACCTGTTTAAAATTCTTATATCGTTTTTGTTAGCTCGTTTTTTTTTTTAATTTATGCTTTTTTGGGATAAGTTAAATATGCAGAGTATGTATTTAGTATAAATGTTTTAAAATAATATCTCATTTTCAAGCCCGAAATCTCTTGACCACCAAAAAAACCAATATCTGTTAATTACAACGTATGAATAGTAAATTAATAACTGGTGATATTAGATATTTGTAATTTGTTACTATCAGTTTATAAACGTGTTGTTGAGAAATGAGAACAAAGAGTGGTAACTATGAAGATAACTTTCATTGTTATATATGTCGAGGTTGATTTCAATTTTTGCTTCATTTATATACTTCTACTTTCTCATTGGTTGCAATCGCCATGTCACATCATGGAGCGGGTCTCTCGTATCGTATTTTACTGAAAAACGGATTTACGAGTTAGAGATAGTATTAGATCTATAAATCAGCCGTAGATCCTATGTTTAATATTTTATCAATGTAAAAATATTTTGTTTGCAGGGCTCTGTAACTTATTTAACGTGTTTTTCTTTTTCTTATAATGAATAAACAAACTCACATAGGGAGACACTAGACAGGCTCGTACCATTTTTAAAAATCTAGAATCAGGTAGATGCATAGTTTATATGGAAAGTGCATAATATTATTTTAAATCGCCGGAACAATTGAAAATATTAGACGCTATTGTTATTATTTAAAATCACCAACAAACCCACACATTATGAGCTCGATCGTCTAGAAAATACTCAAATGTTCCGAATTATCATCTGTAGTTACTATATGATTAGTATAATAAGGTGCCAGAAAGTTGTGTATGCCCACAAGACAGAGAAGTTACAAAAGGATTAAACCGACCCATATCATTATTTTAAATATATAATTGCATAAATCTTTATTAACAATGAATAATAACCCACATCTTTTTCACTGATGCATAGTTCTTATTCTTATCTTACAAAATGCAATTAGTTATATTTTAATTAGATACAAAGGAAGGTCCCACATGCATGAAATACTTTTTAACCACCAAGTTGCCAACTTGCATGTGTGCAAATTCTCCTTTGACCCCACGCTTGATTATTTTTTTCTTTCTTTCCTCTATCACATCGAGTTCCAATATTATAAGGTCCATATACTAATCTATCATTGTCCTTTCAAATATTTCATCACAATATTTTATTGTTATATACGTCTAACCATATAGAAACATTGAATTTCTGCAATTATTTGTCTGCATGATTCGCTATTTCTACAACTTTTATAATAGTATGAATCGAATTTTCAATTCCCTTTTTCTCAAATATCAATTTCATAGCTAACAATACAATGCATTTTTAGCAAATAATTAGAGCCAAAGCCCGACACAAATATAGTTCTACATTCCTCAGAAAACGGATTTGATTGATTATTAGTAGCGGCTTTGAAATTTAAGAAATCATATGCGATTTTTTAAAAGTTTCACTAAAAAAAGTTTAATCAATTTGAGAACCTAAATTTTTGTATAAGGAATCTATGTATATACATTTTCCAATTTTTTTGAAAATTTGAGAAGAATGTTTAACAGTTTTGATTATTGATTACCTTTTTAAAAGCTCAAATATACGATAATAAACTGTATCTATTTTTTTTTGCTAATTTAATAAGCTATAACTTATATCGTATATTTTACAAGAAAACAGTGACTGATTCATATAAAGAAATCGGGCTGGATCTAAACCTTGATGTAAAGCATGTACAATATCTTAATAAAAAGAACAAAATGTTATTTTCTTAAATAAATTCATTTAACGATTTCAAGATTAGATTTCTATTCTAACCATGTATAGCTTCGCTTATTTACACTAAAGGATCGACTTTGCATTAAAAATATATGACGTTATTTGGGACGGTAGGCGGACCTGATTAAATAATGCTATACGTCGGTTTCATTGTTTTACTTTGAATTATATATCAAGGTAGGCACTGAAAAGCAAACCGAAAATATATCACTCACCTTTCTATTTATAACTTATTGTCAACCTTTTTTTTCCTAACTTTACAAGATATTATACAGCTTATATTTATTGACAACTTTTATAACAAAGTAAGATGGCTTAACTATATGTAAATAAATTCCAGCGAACATTTTACCGAGGGAAGGAAATTAAAAAAATCCAGTGAATAGCTTCAAAGTTCAAAGTGTTACTTTCTTTTTTCTTTCGATCAAGAAAATGTTACTTCTACAGTTCTACTTCTTTAGTCAAAAAAGAAGAAGAAGAAAATGTTACTTTTGAATTATTAAAAGAAATAAATTTGTAGAGGTTTAGAAGAAATATAAGGGAAAATATATATTCGTGAACCTAGGCATGTTAAGGACCAGTTAGATGAATGTGACATTTGGTTTTCATCCACCAAGTCGGATTTATTCATATTCGTACGGTTCATTATTATAGGTGATAACTTTTACTTTTCAGATAGCTCTGTATTTATTTGTTTTCCATATGGTCAATTCTTTCATCATATTAGTTTGACCTGTTTTATTAGGTATTTTAATACGGCCATACAGTATTATTATGGCTCCGAATGGTAACCGTGGTTTTGATAATATTAGAGGTGCGGGTTTAAAGTGCGGTACGGTTCAACTGCGATTCTTGCGGTTTGCGGTATAAATGCGGATTTCTTAAGAAAAGTGTGCGGTTTTGATAAAAAAAAAGTAGTGCGATTTTCATAAAAAATAATACAATTTTGATAAAAAATGTAAAATAAATGTATTAATACAATTATAAATTAAAATTTTTTGCTTAGTAATAATATCATAATATTTATAAAAAATTTCATTTTATTTTCTAAATAATTAGTTTCCTTAAATTTTTATATCATTTTTGAAAGTTTTCATTTTATTTTCTATCTGGGTTCTTTTTAAAACACTAGTTAAAATAAATATAACTATTATCTTATTTATAAATTAATATGTATATTTCAAAAAGGAATATGAGGAATAAAATTTGATCGGTGAATTTGATTGAATAGTTCAGATAGTTTTGATTGATCAAGTATTTGTTTTTAATATAGTTGTATTGGTTAATTAAATTAACCACTAAATTTTCTTAATAATTTTATATTATTAAAACTAATATATAAAAGGTGAAAAACGTTAAAGAAAATGAAAAACGCTAGTGAACCGCAGCAAAATTGAAGTGGGTCATAACCCAAGTGCGGTATTGTAGATAGTAGACCAAACAAAAAAAATTGTTTGTCAAGTGCGGTATTCATCAAATACGTCCCGCAAATTGTATATTATTCTGATTGGTGACATTTGCGTATTTCAATCAAATCAATAAAAACCGTCCCGCACTAAATGCTTCCATTCATACACTAAGGGCTTGATTGGTAGAACATTAGCATAAGCATTATGCTCGCTATTATCCAATCAACATTTGTCAAAGAAGTATTTGGAAAAGCATTTACCAAATGCTAATGCTCTCCAAATGCTATTTGCTCAATGCTCTCCAATAGAGCTTTTGATAGAGCATTTGCATTTACAATATATAAAAATTTTAAAAATAATTATACATAATTAATTTATTGTAGTTTAATAATACAAAAAAATATTTTATAATCAAAAATAAATTTATATCTTAAAAATTAAAATAAAATTAAAATTAAATATTTTAAAATTATTTAAAAGAACAATATTTCACATTTAAAATATAATATAATTTATATAATTACACATATCATTCAGTACTTTTAATAACAATCATAACATAATATATATTTATATATTACAAATATAAACATATATATATATTAATTATACATTAATAAATAAATTATATAACATATAATAATTTTTAGGATAATTTTATATATGAATCATTTACTGCTCTATCAATAAATAATAATAATTTATATATAAATTATATATAATTTATTTATTTATTTAATACAATGAAATACTTTTATCTCCAAAATAGTTTAATATTTTTAAAAAATTTACATTTTTAGATAATTATATTTTACATATAAACTATAATATAATTTACATTTGTATACTGCTACTGCTCTACCAATCGCTTTATTAAAAAAATTACTGAAAACATACAGCTTTTGTAGCATACAGCTTCTACAGCATACTGCTAATGCTTTATCATCTGTCGTACCAATCGAGGCCTAAATCAACACTTGTCCCGCAAACTGCATGAACCGCAGTTGAACCGTACCGCCTTTTAATTCCACACCGCTTATATTATCAAAACTGTGGTCACCATTCGGACCCTCACTGAATCACGATAAGTATGAATGGTTCTCTCATTTCAAGATGCATAAGATATTTCGATTGCCTCATCTATATAAATTAAAATTGTATATATTAATTTCGAATGTGAAACAATTTAACTCATTTATTGAGATATCACATAACATGAGGGACGATGTTGGTAACTAGAGTATGGCTTGACGGAGTCCACATGTCAATTCCAGGATTTGATGGGCAAGAAAATATCAAAATACAGTCAGATGGAGATATCAACAGATTCAACACAAAACGTGTTTTAGAAAATGGTTCGTACCATATTGATAAATATTGGGGTTGGCAAAAAATACATCATTTTTAGTGAAGATATAGATATGAACATAGAAATTAACAGTAATGATATAATTTGTTTTTGCGAAATATTGTATAGTTTCACTTATTTTCTCTCACTTTTTGACTATAGTATTTTAAATATAATTTAACGACAGTGGACTATTATTTATACTTATAACGAATACATTCATTCATAACAAAATTAGTCTAGTCTTTAAAACTAAAATATTCTGATTATATATTAAAAAACTATTGTTGTATTCCTATGTTTTGTAGATAACAGTAGAGATGATTGGTAAGGATAAAAACCTTATTTAGTAGTATTAATTTTTATTTACAACTTTTTAAAATTATCAATCATGCTTTATATCAATTTTTAAAAATACAAAGAAGTTTAAAATTACTGTAAAACCTCTATTTACTAAAGTAATATTTCAATGTTATAGGAAAAATAATGTATGGTTATAGAAATATATTCCTATTATCTTTTTTTTACTGTTACAACAGCTACATCTACAGCAAAAAAATATTACAAACTAATTTTTACACTATATCTTTCAGATGTATATCTTAACCTGTCACTCTCAATGTAGCATTTGTTTCAGAGTTAACAAAGAAAAGATGACGACTGAAAGAAGAGTTGAAAATTGCCATGCCACAAAC